AGAAGGCCGCACGTAAGAGCAGGGACATGAGAGGATAACAGTCCTGGGACTGGAGCCATGAAGACTAAAGGGCAGGAACAAGTTGTGAAGCTAGGTGGGAACGAAGGAGTCTGCCCATGGGAAGTCATTCCATCTTACCCAGGTTAACATAATTACAGTATCGACATTTAAAAACGTCACTGCAGTGGCTCTGTGCAAAGCCAAAAGGACACGGGCTCCGCCGCAGAGGCCCAGAACCCAGAGCACGTCCCAGTGGACACATTTAACTAATGGGCAGGAAAGGGTGGTGGTATTCAGGGTGTCTCCCAGGTTGGGCTCAGGCAACCGAGGGAATTGTGACAACAGAAAGCATGGTGACCAACCAAGTCCGCATCACAGATGCTCAGAGTAGGTGGCTATGTGAGTGGGTGTCAATACAGATCTAAAGCCCAAGATGGGGTCCGGGCGAAAGGCACAGATTCTGGCACACGGGTGTTGCCGAGACCAGGAGAGGAGACGTGCTCATGCAGCGAGCCTGCAGAAGGCAGAGTATCTACCAGTGAATGTCAACAATGAAACAGCAGGTGGAGGGACCAGTAAAGGAACCTTTGATCTCAAATCCTAGTTGGGTCAAGATAATAAAACTCAAGAACAAATAAAACTTGGAGTGGACTGGTAACTGTAATCCTAAAGCTGTTGAACATTTGAAAGCATTTAAAATTACTTTAGGAGCTCTGGCCGGGTGGCTCAGTTAGTTGGAGCATCATCCTGTACATCAAAGGGTTACAGGTTTGATTCCCACCCAGGGCACATACCTAGGTTGTGGGTTCAATCCCCTGTCAAGTCATGTACAGGAGGCAATCGATCAATATTTCTCTCACATCCATGTTTCCCTCCCTCCCTTCCTCTCTCCAAAAAAAATCAATAAACATATCCTCAGGTGAGGATTTTTAAAAATTTACTTTAGGAGTAAGTTCGAAATAAAGAACAATTTTTTACAAGTTTAAAGTAGATATTACCTATTCTGAAATAACCATCTTCTAATCGTTTGTCTTTGGTTTCTTTGCTTATTTCCAAACCTTCACTCTAAAATAGAACAAAACATTATTTTATGAATAATTTCTTCTATTTAAAAAAAAGCTAAGTTATTACTATATCTTAACAAATGTAACAGCAGCATTTGTGGCACAGCTTTCTCTAAAAACACAGAGTGTCATTTCAGTCTTAAACCTTAAAAGGTTTATGAATACAAGAGTTCTTTTTCTAACCATCATCCAAAATCTGTATATAATATACTAGTGATTAGGAAACTTAAATTTCAAATAATTTTAAATTCAAATCAATTTAATAGAACGCTATTTTCTATTAAAAATATGCACAAGAACTGTGTGTTAACCTGAAAGAAATTTAAGCATTTCTTAGAGACCAGTACATTAACTTTCTGTAGTCAACAACAAGCATTAAAACCACATGGTATTTGGGGACTGGATACAAACAAATAAATATTAAAGTTAAAGAACGGTTTGTTTATTTTCCTGTACAGACTTCCAAGTACTTTCCGATAGGAAACAAAATAAAGGGTCATTCTATAAATAAGGCAAATGGGACAAGATACTAGGTGTTCTATATTTTTAAAAAAATTAGTATTACTCACCATTGAGGTTCTGCACTAATGAGAACTTTAACCCCTTCCCCAACAATTTTTTTGTTAAAAACGTTTCTTTTTCAGACTAATTTTTTTATTTTGGTTCTATATAGTATTTTTGATGCTGGTTATGAAAACAGTTTGTAACTCGTCTTCCTATAAACCATATTTTTTTACCATATTTTCTTAGTATACTCGTCGACGACTGAAAAAGAACATTTTGTGAAAACGTGTATACACGTTTCTGCCGGGGAAGGGGTTAATCTCATAAACAAGAACAGCCTCAAACCAAGTCTATTGTTGTTAGTTCTTAAGGAAAATTAAGGGGAAAAATAGTCCTACCTTAAAAGGCAAAACTTCCACAGAAGTGTTCAGCAGAATATCTCCTGGATGTTCTTGGTTGCCACTATGGAACAAGTAACTGGAAATACAAAAATAAAGGTACAAATGCAAGTCAGACAAGACTTCACAGAGATTCAGGGAGGCAGCCTTCCCTCAGAGGAAGCATTCTGCACGAGCTGGCACATCAGAGCTTGTGGTAACTGCACATTATGTTCTGAGTAGTTGTAGGGAACTTAGAAATTGGAGTGCAGCCTTAGGTGGTGTGTTAATTCCTTCTGTCATAAGGCACACGTTTGCTGCTTAATGTACTTAACAAATTAAAAAGTGACAACAGTTTTATATAGCTGTTTATACTGCTTTAAATATATAAACCTCAAGACAGAATAATCAAAGTCGCATTATAATACTGTGTCTTTTATCAGAAAATGTTCACGAGGGCAGCCACGAGTTGTGGCAAGTTCAAAGACTAGTTTCTTGGGGGTTTTTTTAGGAAAAGAGAAGAAGAGAGAGAGAGGAACATCGATTTGTTGTTCCACCTACTTATGCATTCATTGTGGATCCCTGTGTGTGCCCTGACCGGGAATGGAACCTGCAACATTGGCACATTGGGACTACGCTCTAACCTCTTGAGCTACCCAGCAGGGACTCAAAGACTAGTTTTATCCAATACAAATTATCTCAGTATTAGTAGAGTAAAAATAAGGTAACCAATTCCAAGTAACTGAGTAATTCCATTTGTCAGTGTTAACAAATATTTGAATAATGACTAATCACATGACATACGATAGTAAGTCAAACACTCTCTGGGTCTGAGTATAATGTTCTTATATCTGATACTCTGAAAACTAGTGTGTGGGGGTAGGTATGTGGAGGAGGTGGAAACCACACTGAGCAAACAAAGCATATCTAATCTAGACCTAAAGCTTAAGTTTAAGTGAAGTGGTTACAAATTTCAGCTTAATCGTCAAAACACCTGCATCCAAGTCCTGGTGTCTCATTTACTAGAATTTTCACTTTAGCAAGTTGCATTAGCTTTCTGCGACTGAGTTTTTTTTTTGGGTTTTGTTCCTGTTAATCTTTACCCAAGGATATATTTTCCCCACTGATTTTTAGAGAGGGTGGGGAAGGGGGATTTTTCCATTGATTTTTAGAGAGAGTAGAAGGAAACATCGATGTGAGAGAGACAAATCGATTGGTTGCCTCCTGCATGCACCCCAACCAGAGCTGGGGGATCGAGCCTGCAACTGAGGTCTGTGCTCTTGATGGGAATTAAGCCTGAGTTTTATCTATACGTACAGTACAGATATTCCCACCCACACAGGACTGTACCAAGAAGTTCACGAGAACTGACAAAAAGTATTTTACACATTGAATATTCAGCAAATAATAGTTACAATGTGGTTCTGACATAGTTACAATATATTATTTCTGGGCAGAGATCACCTACGATATTGATTTTCAAATGTTACACGGGTCAGGGACCATAATAAGAAGTTCCTTCTAAGCTACACCAAAAATCACTTCCAGCATTTTTGCCGAGACACTTCTTTTTAAGGCATCTTTGCTGTGGGATATTGTTTCCCACACAGGCCCGGCGCACGAAATTCATGCGTGGGTACAGTCCCTGGCCTGGGATCAGGGCCATCTTCCCCAGGTGCCCACAGCCGGCCCCGCCCCCCACCCACCCCCAGTTACCCGTTCACCATTGCCTGACGGCCGGGGGAAGAGACTGAGAGGTGGGCAGTGCACCTCATAGTGTCTGGTCCAGTGGTCATTCTGGTCATTTTGCCGTTAGGGTCAATTTGCATATTACCCTTTTATTATATTGGATGGATCATTCAATATCTCAGCTATAGATGCAAAAATATGGCTGGGAAGCCACTCCAAAAGAAAAAGAAAAAGAAAAAGAAAAAAGAAAAAATACAGCCCAGCAGCAGCTGGTGTGGCTCGGTTGGTTGGGTGCCATCCTATGCACGGAAGGGTCCCTGGTTCCATTCCCAGTCAGAGCACATGCCCAGGCTGTGGGCTCCGGCCTGCAGGAGGAAGCCAAGCAATTTGCATATTACCCTTTTATTATATTGGATGGATCATTCAATATCTCAGCTATAGATGCAAAAATATGGCTGGGAAGCCACTCAAAAAGAAAAAGAAAAAGAAAAAGAAAAAAGAAAAAATACAGCCCAGCAGCAGCTGGTGTGGCTCGGTTGGTTGGGTGCCATCCTATGCACGGAAGGGTCCCTGGTTCCATTCCCAGTCAGAGCACATGCCCAGGCTGTGGGCTCCGGCCTGCAGGAGGAAGCCAATTGATGTTCAGCTCTCACATCAATGTTTCTCTCCCTCTCCCCCTCCCTTCCCCTCTCTCTAAAAACCGATTTTAAAAAATCTAAAAATGAAAAAATAGAGCCCATGGATATAATCTGGAGTTTAGGCAGACTGATTCAGAGGCATTCGCTGTGCAATTACCTATAGTGAAAAACTCAATACCACCTAAAAAGAGTTTAACATTAGAATGAGTAAATGATGATTGAGCCATGCGATGGGGTACTATGCAGCTATTGAAATGTCTATGAATCATGTATGAGTATACTTGAAAATATAAGGTATAAAAATTACATATACATCATGGTCTCAAAGTATAGTATACAGAATTATCAAGAAACAAAAAGGTGCCAATATGGTCACATGGTGTCCTTGGGTTTTGATTTTTCCCTTATTCTTCATACATTTAAAGTTTTGTATAATGAACACATATCATGCTACATCACTAGAAAACATTTTTCCTAATACTTCAGGTCTGCATTGATAAACACAACTTCTACTTTTTCCCCTGGTAGCATGTTATTGTGAAAATGAAAAAGTCATTGCTTTTTTTTCTGTCCTAAGACAGAAAATTCATACATGAGTTTCTACTAGAAAAGCATCCTCAGTAGGAGCATGAAATACTACTTCACCGAGGTTAACGGTAAACGCTTTTGTTGTTAAGAAATTCGATCTCTAATATATGAGTTTTCAGGCAGCTCCTCAATGGAATTATTTTCATTTGCTAAAAATAAACCAATAGACACAGCTTGAGGTTATTCTTGTTTATCAAGAAGGTGAAATTGTTTCTAATTCTGTGATGACTCTTTAAATGTGGCAAATGACACCTCAAAGTGCAGATTACCACTATCTAGTAAAAATGAGCATTAACCCCTTCCCCAACAATTTTTTTGTTAAAAACGTTTCTTTTTCAGACTAATTTTTTTATTTTGGTTCTATATAGTATTTTTGATGCTGGTTATGAAAACAGTTTGTAACTCGTCTTCCTATAAACCATATTTTTTTACCATATTTTCTTAGTATACTCGTCGACGACTGAAAAAGAACATTTTGTGAAAACGAGTATACACGTTTCTGCCGGGGAAGGGGTTAAATAACAACAAATATTACATACTCATATAAGTGCAAAATATAATTTTAAAGTATTTTTATATTTTCCCAGTAATATTTCCATTGCTTAAAATATTTTTACACTTAAATTCCTCTGTAGAATCAGTTTAAAGAAAATTTAAAACATTACATTATAGCTATGCATTGTTTTTGTCCACCTTAAAACAGAATTATTCCAAATGACTTTTGGCATATTCTAAAAACCAAATGGACCTCTCATGAAAATGCCTAACATAATAAACCAGACACTAGAGAATTATATTCTTTTCTGGGGATCACATGTAAGTAATACTACAGACTCGGTCTGAGCAACACAACCAAAACTGAGCGAAGTCTGAAGGACTCATGACTGCGAAATAAGACACAGGGAGAAAGAGCCCTAAACTTTGTGCGATGGACATAATGTTAGGACACACAGAAGGGCTGCGAATTCCTCCATGACACACTAAAAGGAGCCCAGCATTTACAAAGCCATTGATTAGAAATAGGCATAGTCTGTTAGACGTCATTTCAACCAATTCGCTGCGTAACCAACTCATATCTTAGGAGATATTCCAGGATAAGGATGTGAAAACAAATTTGAGATTTTGCAGCACAGTGCTACTTAAAAGTATGAAAAAATTATACGAGATACATGTTCAGAAATACCAAGAGAATTTATCAAATATGCTAAATGCTGCTATTTTATCTGAAAACAACAAACCCATTTTATTACCAACTAGTGGGAAATGTATTTTATAACCCAACACTTGGGACCCACTGTCTCCTCACATCTGTTATACACAAAACACTTCCATCACAAATCACACTGTAAAAGATGTCTGAATTGTAAGACCAAACATGTTTCAATCATCACCAACCTTTCCACATTGACCGGCTTATCAAATTTAAACAAGATGTAGTCTCCTGCAGTCGGAGTGATAGCCCAGAAGAAATCCTCCCCCATATATGTTTTCTCCAGTGTGTGTCCTTGGTAGACCTTCAGAGAAGTAGATACTTCTGCAGGTGGGTTTACATGGATTTTAAGAAGTAATGGTTTCATGTAATCTTTATCCTAGGAGGAGAAACACATATGCGATTAAAACAACCCATCGCTTACACTTAAGGGGAAGAACAATGATAATGCACTGAATAACAAATCGTACGTTCATGAGAAAAATCAAATGAAATCACCAACCGTAAGTTTCTGAAGTTTTCCTGTTAGTGAAGAATGCAGGCCAACGTGCTGAAAGAGGGAAGGTCTGAAACGAATTCGTAGATTTGCTTTCTGTCTATCACAATGTTTCTAAATATTAGGGGAAAAATCATGTTAGTGTTACATTATAAAGTGAAATCTTGTCCTCATCTGAAAACCGAGGAGTGCTTTAGGTAAATATTGAAAAGAAAATCCAATTCCATCTCATAATTACAAGTCACATTTTTTAGGTTGCTCACTGAGGCATTAATAGAATCACTGCCTACTTGATAAACAGACAATATGTAAAAATTTAAAATAAGCACATCTAAGGGAAGAGTTAAGGATTTAATTTCAACCATTTCTCACACTAAGTCAATATAGACTTGACTTTTAATATTAAAATTCACAGAGAGGAACCAAGATGGCGGCATAGGTAAACGCCTGTACTTGCTGCCTCCCGCAACCACATCAAAATTACAACTAAAATACAGAACAACTATCACCTGGAACCACAGGAAAGCTGGCCGAGTGGAAGTACTACAACTAGAGAGGCAAAGAAGAAAGCGCATAGAGACTGGTAGGAGGTGCGGAGGCTCGGAACGGGCTGGTCCAGCACCCGGGTGTGCTGCTGTTTTAATTGGGAGGGAGATCACCTCTTTGGAAGCTGCCTGGAGAAGAAAGCACCACACCAGACCCCCAGCCCAGGTCCCAGAGCTGGGGAAAGAAGTCCCTACAGGCTGTAAAAACCAGTGCGGATTGGGGCTGAGTGACACACAGGCTGCTGGAGACCCAGCTGCTCCTCTTAAAAGGCCAGCACCGCAAACTGAATGCACAAGCTCCTGCTTGCTTGGAGCTCCAGCGCCAGGTGCAGCTCTGGGGGACCCAGACACATACGGGGAGAAACTAGACTGTCTGGCAGCGGGGCAGGACCTCAGGGTAGCTTTCTTCCAGATGGAGGTGCTCACAGTGGTCATTGTTCCTCTGCTGGGACCTCCCAACGCAGGGCTGACTGGCAGCCATTTCTGTCTGCTCCACCCTGGAGATTCCCTGAAACCCCGCCCCACCCAATTTACAACCCCACCCAAGCTTTGCACAACAGCTTTTGAATATGAATGGCCTGTCCTTTCTCAGTCTAAAACCTATCAAACAAGCTGCAGCTGGGTCAGGGAGCCCCAAAGCTATCAATGAAAGGCCCAAGCCCCGCACCAGCACCAGCCTGCTTTACTTCACTTCCAAACCCAATAAAAAGAGGAGGAATCTACAGATCTCTCTGTAGCTCCTGCTGAGTGGCTCCAGGCAATGGCTGACTTTGCACCTCCTTGGAGATCCAAGAGCCAGTGTACCCAGTGGTAAGTGTGAGACCATACCAGATTACAACCCTTCACATCTATAAGTGACACACTCAAGGGGCAGACTCAGTGAGCACCAAATCCCACTGAAGCAAGTCCTGCCCCATAAGGGTGTCTCCTGCACAGCAGCTCTCACACTGTAGTCGCAGCTGGTCCCCACAGCCAATTGGCCTGGAGGTCAATTCCTCCCAGTGACACCAACAGCAATCAAGGCTCAACTACAACAAAACTGTGCATACAG